CATGTATGTGTAGTGTGACCTAAGTGTTAGTAGAAGTAGCAAGACATACCTGTAATCTTGCATTTTATGAGACAGACAAAAGATACCAGCAATCCTACAATCATGTAAAACAATTACAGGCTTTCATTTCACACTCACTTGGAATAGTTTTAAAAATGCAGTATTAGAATGTGGGGCAGAAGTTTGTGGTTATAGGAGGGTGGGTGCAGGAGGAAAGAGGAATGATTGGGGAAATGATGAAGTAAAGGGTGTGATAAAAGAGAAAAAGTTAGCTTATGAGAGGTTTTTTCAAAGAAGAAGCGTTATAAGAAGAGTAGAGTATATGGAGAGTAAAAGAAAGGTAAAGAGAGTGGTGAGAGAGTGCAAAAGGAGAGCAGATGATAGAGTGGGAGAGGCACTGTCAAGAAATTTTAATGAAAATAAGAAAAAATTTTGGAGTGAGTTAAACAAGTTAAGAAAGCCTAGAGAATGAATGGATTTGTCAGTTAAAAACAGAGTAGGGGAGTTAGTAGATGGGGAGATGGAGGTTTTGGGTAGATGGCGAGAATATTTTGAGGAACTTTTAAATGTCTACAAAGAAAGGGAAGTGGTAATTTCATGCACTGGCCAGGGAGGTATACCATCTTTTAGGAGTGAAGAAGAACAGGGTGTGAGTGTGGGGGAGGTGCGTGAGGCATTACGTAGAATGAAAGGGGTAAAGCAGCTAGAACTGATGGGATCATGACAGAAATGCTAAAAGCAGGGGGGATGTAGTGTTGGAGTGGTTGGTATTTTTGCTTAATAAATGTATGAAAGAGGGGAGGGTACCTAGGGATTGGCAGAGAGCATGTATAGTCCCTTTATACAAAGGGAAAGGGGACAAAAGAGATTGTAAAAATTATAGAGGAATAAGTTTACTGAGTATACCAGGAAAAGTGTACGGTAGGGTTATAATTGAAAGAATTAGAGGTAAGACAGAATGTAGGATTGCGGATGAGCAAGGAGGTTTCAGAGTGGGTAGTGGATGTGTAGATCAAGTGTTTACATTGAAGCATATATGTGAACAGTATTTAGATAAAGGTAGGGAAGTTTTTATTGCATTTATGGATTTAGAAAAGGCATATGATAGAGTGGATAGGGGAGCAATGTGGCAGATGTTGCAAGTATATAAAGTAGGTGGTAAGTTACTAAATGCTGTAAAGAGTTTTTATGAGGATAGTGAGGCTCAGGTTAGGGTATGTAGAAGAGAGGGAGACTACTTCCCGGTAAAAGTAGGTCTTAGACAGGGATGTGTAATGTCACCATGGTTGTTTAATATATTGATAGATGGGGTTGTAAAAGAAGTAAATGCTAAGGTGTTTGGGAGAGGGGTGAGATTAAGCTATGGGGAATCAAATACAAAATGGGAATTGACACAGTTGCTTTTTGCTGATGATACTGTGCTTATGGGAGATCCTAAAGAAAAATTGCAAAGGTTAGTGGATGAATTTGGGAGTGTGTGTAAAGGTAGAAAGTTGAAAGTGAACATAGAAAAGAGTAAGGTGATGAGGGTATCAAATGATTTAGATAAAGAAAAATTTGATATCAAATTGGGGAGGAGGAGTATGGAAGAAGTGAATGTTTTCAGATACTTGGGAGTTGACGTGTCGGCGGATGGATTTATGAAGGATAAGGTTAATCATAGAATTGATGAGGGAAAAAAGGTGAGTGGTGCATTGAGGTATATGTGGAAACAAAAAACATTATCTATGGAGGCAAAGAAGGGAATGTATGAAAGTATAATAGTCCCAACACTCTTATATGGGTGTGAGGCTTGGGTTTTGAATGCAGCAGCGAGGAGGCGGTTGGAGGCAGTGGAGATGTCCTGTCTAAGGGCAATGTGTGGTGTAAATATTATGCAGAAAATTCGGAGTGTGGAAATTAGGAGAAGGTGCGGAGTTAATAAAAATATTAGTCAGAGGGCTGAAGAGGGGTTGTTGAGGTAGTTTGGTCATTTAGAGAGAATGGATCTAAGTAGAATGACATGGAAAGCATTTAAATCTGTAGGGGAAGGAAGGCGGGGTAGGGGTCATCCTCGAAAAGGTTGGAAGGAAGGGGTAAAGGAGGTTTTGTGGGCGAGGGGCTTGGACTTCCAGCAGGCGTGCGTGAGTGTGTTCGATAGGAGTGAATGGAGACGAATGGTATTTGGGACCTGACGATCTGTTGGAGTGTGAGCAGAGTAATACAGTGGACCCTCGACCAGCGATGGCATCGATTAACGATAAATCTGACTAGCGATACATTTTATCGCAAAAATTTTGCCTCGATTAGCGCTAAAAAACTTGACCAACACTATTCGTTCCATCTGAGACACGTCCACTTCTGGCCAGTGTTTACAAGCCAGCCAGCCACCGTGGTCGCTTCCAAGCATACAATCGGAACATTTCATATTATCACAGCCTTTTTAGTGATTGCACCTGCAAAATAAGTCACCATGGGCCCCAAGAAAGCTTCAAGTGCCAACCCTACAGCAAAAAAGGTGAGAATTACTATGGATATGAAGAAAGAGATCATTGCTAAATATGAAAGTGGAGTGCGTGTCTCCGAGCTGGCCAGGCTGTACACAAAACCCCAATCAACCATCGCTACTATTGTGGCCAAGAAAACGGCAATCAAGGAAGCTGTTCTTGGCAAAGGTGCAACTATGTTTTCGAAACTGAGATCGCAAGTGATAGAAGATGTTGAGAGACTGTTATTGGTATGGATAAACGAAAAACAGATAGCAGGAGATAGCATCTCTCATGCGATGATATGTGAAAAGGCTAGGAAGTTGCATGATGATTTAATTAGAAAAATGCCAGCAACTAGTGGTGATGTGAGTGAATTTAAGGCCAGCAAAGGTTGGTTTGAGAGATTTAAGAATCGTAGTGGCATAGTGTGATAAGGCATGGTGAGGCTGCCAGTTTGGACCAAAAAGCAGCTGAAAAATATGTGCAGGACTTCAAGGAGTACATAGACAGTGAAGGACTGAAACCTGAACAAGTGTTTAATGGTGACACTGACAATGTTGTGAAACACTTTAGGAATGTCATAAAGGAATGGGAGGTACAGGCCTCTGTGGGCAGATATGTTGTGCGACAGAGGTCCAGTGACTCTCAAGCTGGTCCTAGTGGCATTAAAAGAAGAAGGGAAGTAACCCCGAAAAAGGACTTGCCACCTCAAGTCCTAATGGAAGGGGATTCCCTTTCTAAACACTAAGACCATCAACACACTCCCCTCTTCCCATCCCATCAATCATCACCAGATCTTCAGTAAAGGTAAGTGTCATGTAACTGTGCATGTCTTCTTCAGTTTGTGTGTATTAAAATTAATATTTCATGTGTTAAAAATTTTTTTTTTCAATACTTTTGGGTGTCTTGCACGGATTAATTTGATTTCCATTATTTCTTATGGGGAAAATTAACTTGACTAACGATTATTTTGACTAACGATGAGCTCTCAGGAACGGATTAATAGCGTTAGTCGAGGGTCCACTGTATTTAGTAAAGGGATTCAGGGAAACCGGTTATTTTATATAGCTGGACTTGAGTCCTGGAAATGGGAAGCACAATGCCTGCACTCTAAAGGAGGGGTTTCGGGATATTAGCAGTTTGGAGGAATATGTTGTGTCTCTTTATACGTATATGTATGCTTCTAAACTGTTGTGTTCTGAGCACCTCTGCAAAAACAGTGATTATGTGTGAGTGAGGTGAAAGTGTTGAATGATGATGAAAGTATAATCTTTTTGGGGATTTTCTTTCTTTTTGGGTCACCCTGCTTCAGTGGGAGACGGCCGACTTGTTAAAAAAAAAAAAAAATCTGTATGTGTCTTTAACCCTTTCAGGGTCCGTCCCGTAGCTCTACGGCTTTACGGTGAGTGTCCAAACCATAGATCTACACCATGAGCTCAGCTCACTCTGATAAACTGTGAGTGGTACATTTGGGCCTAGATATGAGAGAATACATCTATGTGGTATGTGTGCACCACATAAAACAGATCCTGCAGCACACTGTGTATAATGAGAGAAAAAAACTGAAATCATGATTTTTCGATTAAAACAGCAACTTTGCAGTGTTTTTTTCATATGTTTTTATAGTTGTATTTGCGATTTCTTGGTCTCATTTGATAGAATGGAAGACATATTACAGAAATAGAGATGATTTTGATTGGTTTTAGCACTGGAAATGGCTTGAAACTGAGCTCAAAATAGCGGAAATGTTAAATTTTTGCCGATATTCAAGAGTAAACAAACGACCTCACACATCTAATACACGTCAGCTGGTGGGTCTAATATACATTCACAAATATGGTGATGGTATTTATGCAATTATTACAGTATTGCATAACAGTAAATCTTCTATTTTTTGGTGTGAATAAAAATTCATTATGTGAATAAAAAATCAAAATGGAATTTATTTGTAAAGCCTCAAAACATAACTAATGAACAGAGGAAATGTTAGTTTAGTGCCAGGAATGCCTACATTCTTTATTCTGGACCCTATTTTGAAATTGGAATATTTTGAACTTTGTGTTAAATTGGCCAAATTAACAATTTCCGATCACTTTATTTTGTAGTTGAAACAGTTGACTTGGCGATTTCTTGTGCTCAATCGATAGAATAGAAGTAATACTAGTGAAATAGCTAAGAATTTGGTTGATTGGAATAATGTAATTGGCCTAAAATGGGAGTGAAAGTCGGCAAAATCGCTGATTCGTAAATATCGCTGACACATCAAAATTCACGAGAGCATAATTTCGTCAATTTTCTACCAAATTTCGTACTTTTTGTTTTATTACCTTCACAAAAAGATTCTCTACGATTTCATAAGAAAAAATAACAAATTTTTTTTTTGAAAATTCTTGGACATTGGTGCATGACTCCAGATTTAGGCCTTGGACCCTGAAAGGGTTAATGTCTTACTTGCATATGAATGTTGAAATATCTTTTAATGAACATTGTGAATTTTAGCCATTTATTGTAATACATGATCATTCTTTACAGTATGTGCTCTCGGTGCTAAACTTCACATACCCCACAATTTATCAAGGTTGGCAGACCTTGGTTGGGGGCATCCTCCTGCGAGTTTTACTCTCCAACAAATGCCTCTCCATCTCTGCCACAGATCTAGATAAACCTGGATTTATTTCTCTCTTGCCATCATTTCTCTTCTTCGCAGCTGGCATCGTTGCAAGTTCTAAAGCTCTTTGTAATTTGGTAAGTTGTGGGTTTTCTCAAATGGTTCATAATTTTTTTTAAGTGAATTATTTGATTACTGTTTATAATTACAGAGCATATGTATTTCTGTGCTTCTGTTCTGTTGTGACACAGTATATAGCAGTTTGTCAGCTAATTTGCCACGCAACTTTCCTGTTGTTTAACTCTGAAATTGTCCAAACGTAGATCTATGTTCACTTGCGTAGCGCTCCGTACGTAGATCTACGCTTTATTTTACATGGCTTCAAATGTAAAATAAAACATAGATCTATGTTCGGAGCGCTACTTGAGTGAACGTAGATCTATGTTTGGACAGTTTAAGGGTTAACGTTTACTTAGCTCACACCCCAAATGGGGGCTGCAACCTTTGCTGAGTGTGTATGTATGCATGTGTCCTTACATATGTGCATTCATGTCTGCCTTTTTTGCTAAATGTATACTGAAGACACCAGGATATGATGCTGACTTGTTCTAGTGTTAATTTAAAGGAACTTAAACAGTACATTTTATATGTACATGTAAAAATCTTTTAAAAGTAAAAAAAAAAAATAAAAGAACATGAGCTCTTTTTTCTCTCCGGAAGCTTTATTAATGCATTACAAACAGTACAAGGGCACAAGGCTATATAAAAAAGGAACATTTAAGTACAGGAAGTACTGAAATGTTCCCACTAGCCTATGCTAGTGGTGGTAGTGACTGTAGTAGCAGAAATGACTTGTTATTGTCAAGTAACCATGAGGTTTAACACTTTAGGGAGAATTCATGTAACAATTTAAAAAAGCCCACTTGTGTACAGTTCAGGACTTGTTAAAGGAAACTTCTCCCGATGAGTGGCTCCAACAGCCCTAATACAGAGGGTATTATATATAGTAGGCAATGCAGGTGACCAATAGCCAGGGTGAGGTGAGGCAGGAGGTGAGCAAGGTTGCAGAAAATATTTTGTATTTTTTTCAACACATCAGCCGTTTCCCACTGAGGCAGGGTGACCCGAAAAAGAAGAAACACTTTCTTCATCATTCACTCCATCACTGTCTTGACAGAGGTGTGTCTATACTACAGTTAAAAAACTGCAACATAGCAACCCTCTTCAAAGTGCAGGCACTGTACTTCCAACCTCCAGGACTCGAGTCCAGCTAACCGGTTTCCTTGAATCCCTTTATAAATGTTATTTTCGTCACACTCCAACAGCATGTCAAGTCATAAAAACCATTTGTCTCTACTTGCTCTTGTCTAACATCCTCATGCATGCTTGCTGGAAGTCCAAGTCACTTTCACATTTATCTTCTTTCTCCAATCTTTCCTAGGAGGACCCCTACCTCCCCTTCCTTCCACTATGGATATAAACACCCTCCAAGTCATTTTATTTTCTTCCACCCTCTCTAAATGTCTGAACTACCTCAACAGCCCCTCCTCAGCTCTCTGGATAATACTTTTAATAACCCAGCACCTCCTAATTTCCAAACTACGGATTCTCTGCATTATATTTACACCACACACATTGCCCTCAGACATGACATCTCCATTACCTCCAGCCTTCTCCCTGGTGCAACATTTGCCACCCATGCTTCACACCCATATAAGAGCATTGGTATAATTATACTCTCATACATTTCCCTTTTTGGTTTCATGGATAATGTTCTTTGTCTCCACAGACTCTTCGGTGCTCCAATCCCGTTTTTCTCCTTATCAGTTCTATGATTCACCTCGTCTTTCATAGACCCATCTGCTGACAAGCCCACTCCCAGATATCTGAATACATTCACTTCCTCCATACTCTCTCCTTCCAATCTGATATCCAGTCTTTCATTACCCAAATTTTTTGTTATCCTCATCACCTTGCTGTTTCCTACATTCACTTGTAATTTCCTTCTTTTACATATCCTTCAAAAGTCATCTACCAACCTGTGCAACTTCTCTTCAGAATCTCCCAAAAGCACAGTGTCATCAACAGAAAGCATTTGTGACAACTCCCCCTTTTTCTTAGATTCTTTATCTCATAATCCCATGCCTCTTGCAACATCCAAGCATTCACTTCTCTTACAACTCCATCTACAAATATATTGAACAACCATAGTGACATCATGCATCCCTGTTTAAGGCCTACTTTTACTGGGAAATAATCTCCCTGTCTCCTACATACTTTAACCTGAGCCTCACTATCCTCATAAAAACTCTTCACTTCTTTCAGTAACCTACCACCCTTTTTATACATCTGCAGCATCTGCCACATTGCTCCCCTATTCACTCAAACATATGCCTTTTCCAAGTCCATAAATGCAATGAAAACCTCTTTACCCTGATCTAATACTGTTTGCCTATACGCTTTACTGCAAAGAGAGCCTCTATTATGCCTAGGCATTATGGGCCAACTTAAACATTATTGGCTTACAGACTACTTAACACTAAGGATTATATCATAATTGTACAGTAGGATTGTAATTATTTTATAGTTGAACAGTAGATTATTAATTATAAGTGAGTTAAATTTGTATAAGACAAAGGATATATTCATATAGTCCAAAATGCTTTTTGTGAAAACAATGGTTCCCTGTCAACAATGGATAAAAGGTTCTAAGTGATTGTTGAAGTTATGATGTGGGAGTACATAGGTGAGTATGTGTGTACTGAGTATTTAGCTTTTAGTCTAGGGTGATTAAGTGGCTTTTGAGAAGAGTCTTAAATTGATTTTCAGACTGGGGTACTTTAATATCCTTAGCCATACAGATTGCAAAAGGGGGGTTATGGTAAGCAGCAATCTTAAACCAAGACAGCAATGCCTCAGCATACATAATAAGGCAAACAGATTACTGGGATTTATATCAAGAAGTGTAAGCAACAGAAGTCCAGCAGTTATATTACAGCTTTATACATCATTAGTAAGGCCTCACCTAGATTACGCAGCTCAGTTCTGGTCTCCATGTTACAGACTTGATATAAATTTGTTAGAAAACATTCAGCGTAGAATGATGACTAAATTAATACATAGCATTAAAAATCTTCCATATGTAGAAAGATTGAGGACCCTTAAACTACATTCACTTGTAAGACGAAGAATGAGGGGACACATGATCGAAGTATATAAGTGGAATATGAGCAACAAAAAAAGGCACAATACCGTGACTGGAACGATACACAAAAAACCCACACATAGAAGAGAGGAGCTTACGGCGACGTTTCGGTCCGACTTGGACCATTTACAAAGTCAAGAAGTAGAGCAGGACGGGTATATATAGGTGTAGTAGTAGTAGTAGTAATAGTGATCAATAAGTTTAATCTCTCCTCTTTTGATGAGCCTATAAATTCCCCTTTTCTCTCCTAGTAAATGGTTTAACCTCCTGTTAACCCATTTGGGGTTGTTATTATTTGACCTAATATCTCTTTGGGGAATATATATGCTCTGAGCTCATTGTACATTATTAAGAAAAATTAACAATTGCAGATCCCTTCGTAATCGTAAGTTTTTTTTTTTTTTTTTTCAACAAGTCGGCCGTCTCCCACCGAGGCAGGGTGACCCAAAAAAGAAAGAAAATCCCCAAAAAGAAAATACTTTCATCATTCAACACTTTCACCACACTCGCACATTATCACTGTTTTTGCAGAGGTGCTCAGAATACAACAGTCTAGAAGCATACACATATAAAGATACACAACATATCCCTCCAAACTGCCAATATTATTAGCTGGATTACCCCAATCCAGATTAGACAGGTGTTCCCCAAGTCCATTATAATCGGTAGAACAAAAATCAGGGACTTTTACCATATTATCATTATTCCCATATTTCCAGCTAATGCTAAAAGTGATGTATTTGTGATCACTAGCGCCAGTCTCTTCAGTGATCTCCAGATTATTTATGAGTGTTTCCTTATTTGACAAGACTAGGTCGAGCAAATTATTACCTCTGGTAGGCTCTATTACACACTGCTTCAGAAAACAGTCCTGAACTACTTCCATAAAGTCACTGGAGTCAAAGAAGTTCAGTCAGTTTGACTAAAGTTAAAATCCTCCTACTATCACTATGTTATTGTGTCTAGAAGCCCTAACAATTTCGTCCCAAAGAAGTCTCCCTCTATCGTGATCCAAGTCTGGAGGTCGGTATATTACACCTAGAATTAGTTTTTCTTGACCTTCAAATTCTACCCAAACAGATTCTGTTACTAATCCATTTATTTTTATGCCAGTTTTGATGCAATAGTTTATATTTTTATATTTTCTTGTACATACATGTATAATGCAACTCCTCCCCCCTTCCCATTATATCTATCCACATGGAACAACTTAAACCCTTGAATATTACACTCAGCAGTCATATCCTGACTCTTTAAATCATATCATGTTTCAGTTATTATTACAATGACATCGAAGTTCCCAACACACACTACCAAACATAATTCCTTAATCTTATTTCTTGCACTTTGACTGTTAGTATAAAATTTAGTTATATGTTTTTTCTTCTGCACATTTTTCCTATTCACCTTTGTTTTTACACAATTTCTGTAATTATCATTACCCTGTGTTACTTCATGACTGTTATTATTAAGATTCATAATATCAAAGCCTAAGTCAATATATCCATTCCCATTATTCTCCATTTCTAAACCCATACCTCTAACTAATCCTAATTTAAAGTCCTAACCACCTTCAACTGAGCTAGCAAGAAAACCCACACCTGCCCTAGATAAGTGAACCCCATCCCTGGCATACATGTTTTTTCTACCATACAAGTGGTCCCAGTTGGCAATGAATGGTACTGCATTATCCTTACAGTGCTTGTCCAGCCAACAATAAATACCAATTGCTCTGGACAACCATTCATTTCCAATACCCCTTCTTGGCAAAATGCCACATATAACAGGGCACCCCCCCATTCTTCCTAATTATGTCTATTGCTGCCCTGTACTTTCTAAATCCTCACTTCTACATTTGCCTACATCATTGCCCCCAGAACTGAGGCAGATAATAGGATTGATCCCATTACTGTTCATGATGTTGTCAAGCCG